AATTATAATAAAATCACCACTTATTATTATCAGTGGTATCCGAGTCGCATAATTGTTGGTATAGTTTGTTGGTGCCAGTTCTGTTCGACCACAAACTAAATTAAAAAAAATGCATTTATTTAAACATACAATTAATTATATTCCTGTATAAGTAGAATAAGTTTACTTCTATTATTATATTTCTTAACAAAATGAAAAACACGATTTGAGAGGATTAAACCTAATTCAGAATAATTATTATATTTGAGCAATTTTAGCGTTTTTCTTTAAGATAAATTTAGTTTGGTGTGTACTGTTGGACACACAAGAAATGTTTGAAACTATAGAAGAAATTCAACTATATTTTCAATTAAAAAAAAATGGATCATTTTGTGGTTTTACAATCACGAGGTTTTCAAGTAATAAATTAAAAATATTTATTGGTCTCTTCATTATTATCTGTCTCATTGAATGGTTTCGCGATTTCGTTTCGTATTCGCATCGCCTTTATGCGCACTCTTTAAAACTGGCCGTCAAGACTAACGAGAATACGAGACGAAATCAATGAGTTTATAATAGGGACAGGAAAAAGTGCTTTGTATAACTCTCTGCTGCAAAGTGACTCATGTATTTTTTAATTTTTACAATTAAAAAGATTGAATTTTTATCAAGAAAATTGAATAAATTTACCTTTTTGTCTGTGACAGACCTTTAGAAATTTTTATAGCATGATTAGATAGATTTCTTTGACTAAATGTTAGATATTTTTAGTTTACGCGCCCCCTTAATTAATTACTCGTAAACAACACAGATGATATAGAAACGTATAGCATTGTGAATGCAAAATTGATTAAATATTCATAATAATAAGAACAAATTTTCATCTTTCTCGAAAGTTTACATATTAGGTGTTAAAGTATGAAATTGCCGTTTTATTGTAATAGGTTCCTTGAATTGACATAGAATCTTCATGGTTTGAGGTTTACGAAAGAAACTTTGTCACATGGTTTCTACGGTGTTCTTCTTTAAAAAATGTGAAACATTTGAATATCGACTTTCAATTGTTTTTGTTATTCAACTTAGACAAGATAGATGGATACTGCGAAAATAGGGATGACGACTAATTTTTGTTTGTTTGTCCATCAGGTAGAATGTTAAAAAAGATTAAACACGTATTTTTTTATTTTTTTCGTAAAATAACGGCGATACGTGGAATTGAAATTTCGCATGACGTCACGTTATGGTACGTTTTCTACTCAACTGTGACGTAGCGAGCCCCCACTCCTCAACTTTAATTCCTGTTATCTAAGCTATATCTTGTTAAATTAAAGTAAAAAAAATACGTATTTAGTATTTATCTATTATCTAACTGACGGACTAAATAGAATTGTATTTTTTTTACCCAGTCACCATCCCTATTCGAGTGATTTTTGAATACGAGTTTCGACGAGGAAGTAACGCTGCAGAAACAGCCCTCAATATCATTGTTGCGTCTTATCATTAGATGGCAGCAATGTATAGATAATAATGGTAACTATTTTGATTAAATAAATTTGTTAAAAAATAAACAATTTTGTTTTTCTGTACAAATGGGCAATTTCATACTTTAACCCCTATTATTTGTAAAAATATTTCTTTCGGCTGTTTGGGTAGATTGCCTGAACAGTAAAAAAGATGAAGTAGCGTAAAAAATAACAAGTGCTTGAAAAATTCGTCAGTCCTGTCAGATTCTGGGTAGCTCAGTGGTTAGAGCAGTGGCTCGAATTGTAATATCATGGTCATGGTTTCGAATCCTATCTCAGAGTGTCAAGGACAATGTGGATTTTTAAGAATTTTTCATTAAAAATATTTAAAAGTTTAATTTTATCTTACATTTATTTGTATAAACGTTCGATAACTTGCGCTCTCCGTTCTCAGACGGCACCTGTTTGTGTTATCAAACAATAGAGTTTATTTTATCGAAACGATAACACTGAATCGGAGCGAAAAATATTTTATCATAAATTCATACAGCCTATATTGTCGTCATGCCGTTAGTAGCAACATATAGTTCTTCGATACAATACAATCAACTTTAAAATTGTAATATGTTGTCGTAAATATTTTGTTGTTTGTTTTAATATAATCCTTCTTGATTATCTCCACTACTATACCTAGGCTAGACTAGGCTATTGTCGTGGAGTGGACTTATTTATAAGTTAAAATTAAATATGATTTAATAAAATTTAAACAATCAATTATTTTCCTCTTTATAATAAAAAGCATTATCTTTTTATTCGTCGTAAATTTTTTTTTGTTATATATATTGAAAAGTTAAAAATATAGGGTAGGTGAATAATAGCTAACATAAGATACGTCAGAACTGACAAATTATATTATGAAATTCAACTTTGTATATTCGACGGACGATCCGTCGTGTACTAACGCATACTACCGTGACACGCCTGATCGATCTTTCATCAAATATTAGATATACGAAATAAAATCGATGACCCTATTCCTGATAGGTAACGTGCACAACGAAGGTCCTGCTGACTGGCGTCGCCAATCCTGATCTTGTAGTCTAATTGATAGTTGATATTGACATTTATTGATATAACAAGTAAACAAAATAATTTTATTATTGTAGCTAATCATAATGCGTCAATAATGCTACAATTCAGAAATTCAGAAAAAGAAAAGTTAAAAAAATTCAATATCGTAAAATTTTATTACAATCCAAAGAATTGTGTAATGCTACGTGAAATACACAAAAAATGATAAACATAAAAAAAAAGAATTCTTATGAATTTTAAAATTCATGGGTAAAATTCATAAATTATTAACATATAATGGTTAATTATTTCTCGTCGTAAACATTGATTTTTTTTCATGTGCGACAATGTCGTCAGTTAGTACAGCCGCATTTTCTTTATTTATTATTTCTTCGATCTCTAATACTTAGCCAGCCTCGAAGAGTTTTTGACCCTTTGACATATTTTGGCCACCGTGGCGATCATTATTGATAGATCCCATGGAACCCATATTTACATTTATTTAAGTGGTAAACAAACGTGAAACTTCACTTGTAAACACATGTATAATATAGGACGGAACCCTTCGTGCACGAGTCCTACTCCCACTACAAATACAAATTTATTTATAAAATAAGTATCGGATTTATGAAACCCCGTTTTGTAATAATAATAATATAGCACAATCCATTTCACAAAGTGTTTGTTTATTGACAAAGTTATATTTTTACTTAGTCCATTTCAGACAATCTCTAATCAGAATCACTTGGGAAACATAACTAAGATGTACCGCAGGGTTCAATATTAGGCCCGCTTTGTTATTAGGTTATCGCACATCTCTGATCAAATGTTATATGGTTTTTTGTATTAGTGAAATGTGCTTTTTAATGAAATACAAATATATTTAATTATTCACTATAATAAAAAATATGTGGCTCGTAATAATATAAATTTTGGTCACTCATCCTATTTACCGGCCTTCGCGAAAGTTGCTTTACATCCGAAATCGCATAACTAATGCGCCATAGAGCTTCGTTCTAGTGTTATTAATTTTATTCAATTTGCTATTAGTGATAGTTTGTGCAGTGCCCATAAGTTTTTTTTTGCAAAACTCTCGTGATAAGTAAGACATGAAAACCACGTTAAGTGTCGACACTTTATTAGTTCCCTTATGTTTAGCCTAGTATTTTCCTTCTGCGTTGTTAAAACCTGTGATTTATGCGTCGCCCTAATAAATTCTTTGTTCTATAAACAGAGTTATGTAAACAAAACCGCGTGTGTGTGTGAACGAATTCTATTGTCCATGTTAAATATTACTGACTGCCTTCTATGGACTGTTGAGTCACGTCGAGTTATAGTAATGTATTGCTTACTTTTAATTTATGTTATGTGAATGTGACGATCACTGAGTAAATAATGAAAAGTGTCAGTCACTTGCAATTGATATCTCCCAATTCTAAGATTTGAAACTTGTAATTCTTACGTGTAAATTGTGCTTAGAATGATTTAATATGGAACCCGACTGTTATGTCAGATCGACATAATAATAATAATTTTATTTGCCTTTAATCAGCAAGTTGCATAAACGTCCATTGATATTGTCACTAGTTTAAAAGTGACATTACCCATACAAATTTGACATTCATTAGACCTTAATGTACGTTTGTGCACCTAGCCGTAAATGATGTAAACTGTAGATGAATACTGTGTGTATGCCGAGATAGTTGCAACTACCTTGCTAAAATGGAGAGCACAAAAAAACAGCGTACCTACCACTTCAGCGATTCCTCTTTTTTCCTATCAACCTACTTCATTCATCAATCAACTGTCTTCTCCCGCTTCCTCTTTTCCAGAATAACCTCTATTGAAAGATAACATGTAATGTTATGTAATGTTAGTCTTTTTTCCTATCAACCTACTTCATTCATCAATCAACTGTCTTCTCCCGCTTCCTCTTTTCCAGAATAACCTCTATTGAAAGATAACATGTAATGTTATGTAATGTTAGTCAAAAATGAAATCATATAATGAACTCGCGTCCGGATATCAATAGCTGCTTGGAAGCCTTAAAGTGGTAATTTACCGTTTTTTCACATTCCCACATTATCATACTTAATGAATCCCAATTTTCATATTTAATGAATCCCAAAGGCGTTGATTCTACATTGAGGGGCAGCCCTTTCGTACCGTTATGTATTACGGCGCTTTTAAAGGAGACCCCTCCTTTGTCCTTTAATTTTAATAAATGTGCACATGTAAACTTACCCAGTTATTGCCAATAAATATAAATTAAGCGGAATTACACTCTTCTTAATCTGTATAACTTTAGATTAAGAAAATGCTTAGCGAATATTGGACTTGCAAGTGGACTTAATATTGGAAAAGAATGCCACTAAAAAGAGATGAAATCTTTCACACTCGCCAATAAGTAAGATAGAGAACGATATTGACATTTTTGCTTAATATTTGTCTGATCCTCCACTAATTTAGTGTTTTTTTTAAACACAGGTTGTACTAGAAGTGGCCCACCGCGTGGACGCGGAGGGCGTAGTGGCCGTGGACTCGGTCGTCGAGAAGTTGATCTTCAAGCCACAGGATGTGGTCTCCATCCGAGCTAAGGACTCGGACCTCGAGTACGCGACACACGATGTATTTCAAACAGATAGCGCGATATCTAGCAAGTTTAATGGTCAGTTTCTGTTGCAGATATTTATATTGTCGGTCAGCTGCTTGAACATTGAATGATAAAATTATTGTTCATTATTAATTATCCAAATAGTAATTAAGCGTATAGCTTTGAAGAGTGACCAAATCATAATTAAATCTTGGCTTTAAGTATACTTATAAGTAACAAAACTTGAAAAGGCAATCGATTATTTCACATAGAAATTGTCTCGAACCATTCCAATTTTAAGTAACTGAGTATGTTCCACATTTTTTTATTCCGAAATTTTAACGGAATCGCCCTCCACCCTTTTCGATTCGATAATCGACCTTGTACTGAGAAGAAACTCAGCAAAGGCTACTTCCTTCTCCGTACTATATTTCATCATTATACCATTACACACAATAAATTATAAAAAAAAAAAAACTATTTTGTTGTATTCAGGCACCTTCCGTGTAGCCGAGGAGCGTCAGCTTGAGCCGTGGGACGCTTGCGACGGTGATGCGAGCGACTCGCCCGCCCTGAACGGCGACGCAAGCCTCGAGGATCTCGAGCTCGACCACCGCGCCAACGGCTGGGACGCCAACGACATGTTCCGCAAGAACGAGGAGGTGTACGGCGTACACAGCACGTACGACCACTCGCTGGCGGGATACACGCTGCCCTTACAGAGGAAGGATACACAGGATTACAGGTGACCGACACCCATCTTATTCTCATCTCTGTAGCGTTGTTTTAAATACCAATTTAGTTTATAAATCAGTCTGCAAAAGTTTGACATTGAAAGCTTGTTTAAAAAACAGCTTGTTTAAAGAAAAAACAAGCTTTCAATCGCTTCAGATATTTCTTTATCTGTTAATAATATAGGATTTCTCCGCTTATGGGTCCTGTGAAACTGACATAAAATAATATTAGCTGTTTTCCCGTGACTTCGCCAGCGTAAATTGTAGCCTATGTTGCTCGCGTACGATGTAGCTATAGTGGAACAATTTTAAAACCGGTTCACTAATTTTAAAATCTATTCGATGCAAACAAATAATCAAATTTTACCTCTTTATATTGATACGAAGTCGCTGACTGAATTCAGACATTTCCTTTGTGTAATACACGTTTTATCACTAATCAATTTGACTGCAGAGATGCCGAAGCGAAAGCTGAAGAAATAGCTGCCGAAATAGAGAGCACGCCCACGTACAAAGCTCGCATCGACGCAGAAAACGGAGATGAGGAAGAAAGATATGCGGCTGTCGTACGGCCCGGTGAAGGAGCACCAGGCAAATACGTTATACCTAACAAGAGGAAAAATATACAGGTACATAGACATATAATATAGATAGATGGAATAATTTAAATAATTTACTTGCAGGACTCTCTGTAGCGTGTATCCAAAATTAACAGTTAGAATTGACAGGTGTACTAGTGTTAAACTGAGACATAGAGATCTTAGATCCTGCATCCGTAAGTCAAGCTTGAAAATAATGTATATCGTCTGTGGTTCTTCCGTCTAGCAGAGGCCCACACACCAGTTTCAAAGTGTTGCTAATTCTATGGTCTCGGGTTCGATTCTCGGTCGAGTCAATGTAGAAAATAAACTTTGCCCCGTCTCGGGACTGAGTGTGGTGGTACGTTCGTTATTTCATATTTCCGTAAGACAAGTGGTTAAGATACTTAATTTGGGGTCTGAGCAATTATAGTAGATTAGTAAACCAAAAAAAATACGTCGCAATCACAACTACTAAAAAATAAAAATAATTACACATTAAAAGTGGCAAGTCAGAGAAAGAATATAACGTGGTAAACAAATTGTGCTGAGTTTACATGAACGAATTAAGCTTGACAATGGGTTATCTATAGTGTGCGAAATTCATAATTTATCGCTGTATTAATATTGCCGATTCCGAAATTTTTTTATTAGAGGCATCCCTATTCTCAACTATATATTAAAATGTATCGAATAGAGCGGCAAGCTGGTAAAGCCAACGGGCAGCAGCAGCAGCAACAACGGCAGCGGGGGCGGGGGCGGTAGCAGCCCGGGTGGGGGAGGGGGTGGGGGTAAGCCTCGCGACAAGGAGCCCCGTCCGCCGCGACACCACCTCACGCCGCCTGCCGACCCGCGTGCACACAACCAGGTAAGCGGGGAATTCATTAAATGGACAAGTCTGCGGACATGTTAGCCTGATCTCGTTACTAATAGGTCTGTGTTATGACTGCGACGGTTCTACACTATCTAGACATGGCCGCCTTAAACTAAACGACGTCTGGCAGGCGCAAACTTGCCGACATGCCCGTCTAGTGAATTCTTTTTCACCCACTTACACACGCACTTGACCACGCCTATCAAATTTCGTCAAAAGCCGCTTTCTTTTAGAGCAGTTGTTCTGAAACTTTGACAGCAGTCGTTCTGACCAAAAATAAAAATATTTGAAACTCACTAATTAATTTTAACGTATGAAGCCGTTTTGACCTGTACCGGGTAACTGGCCGTTAATCATATATTTCAATTCCAGGCACACAATCTTAGCCTCCGCAGTAGCCCTTGGTTTATTTACGGCGCGCTAATGCCAAAACACCTAAGCTTTAACTTTATAATTATCTGTGTCTAGCAACAGACGCAGAGTCCTGCGACAAACGCGAATGCCCCATCGAGTACGGGTACGGGCACTAGCACAGGAGGGGCGGGTACGACTACGGCAGCGGTCCCAGGAGCGGGAGCGGTAGCGGGCGCGGGCAAAAGCTATGCGGCACAAGCGGGAGGGTATCACGCGCCGTTCCCACCACACCATCCGCCACAGTATGTACACACATCACCACATCATGTTCCTTGTAACGAAAGCGAAATTCTCTCAAATCTATTTTCATCTTGAAATTCAAAATCATGTATAAGCATTCAATCATATTGAAATTCAAAATCATGTATAAGCTTTATTGTGTACAGATGAAAGCTTAAATTGTTTGGACTGACTTAACAGTGATAAATTATGAGATTAAGTGGCCCAAGCACTTAATGAAAAAAGTATGCTGGCTGTGAATGATTATCAAACAAAACTTGCGCTACCCCTTTCGTAATTTACCGACCCTGGCCATGCCCTTTTTGGTCCTAGGATAATTATAAGCCTGAGCTAGACCATATACTTTCCGCAATGATTAAAATGCGAATTGGCAGAACTCGCTTATGGTATTGGAACATTATAAAAAAAAAGATGTATGAATATTTATAAGTCAAAGTATCAACATCATCATTATTTGGGTGGTTCAGGTCTTCCCTATGAAGGCAATTGAATTTAACAGGGAGAATGGGTCATGACCCACCACGCGGTCCCAGTACTGATTGGTGGGTGTTAATGACTCTTGATACAGCCTTGACCAACGGCTCAACGTGCCTTCTAAGGCAGGAACTCGAGTTAATAAATTTTTGGTCACCTATCCTATGATCGGCCCTTCTATAAGGCATAATATATCCGTTATATCATTTTTAACAAGCTAATGTTTTACTACAGAACAGTCCCCATCAAGTTGTACTAGGATACTGTTGTAGTATTTAGAGCAATATGAAGTTTTCTTTTAGTTTAATTAGTATATATTTTCGTGATATGAGTGTTATTTGTCATAGGGCGACAGCAGGCAAAATAAATGGCGAACCTAGGGCGCCCCCACCACATCGACACCATCACCATGTAAGTCTAATCATATAAACGCTACCAAGAAACAATATCGATTAGGAAGTCAAAATTATTCAAATTGGTATCTTTTTCCCTGTCTGTCATCGCTGTTAAAATGACGGGTCGGCAACCTGCGACTCTTAAATCGTGTTATCTATACTAACTATAGACGTACATATTTAAAGTAGTTTGTTTTAAATAAAATTTCAAATATAATATTGATATTGAAACGAAAGAATGGCTATTTAAATCTATGATATTATTTTAATTGTAAAATTTGACTCTTCTGTCTCAAAAGGTTGCCGACTCCTGCCCTAAGTCCACTACATAAATCAAGACATATAAGTTATGTCCTCCCTAAAATAATAGGGGTTAAAGTATGAAATTGTCGATTTATACTAAAAATCAAAATTGTTTATTTTTTAATTTTTGTCAAAATTATTTTATTCACCTATATGGGGGCCACCCTCATGGCTCGTTCTTCAAGTCGAAGTTTCCATTACGAAGCGTTTAAACCAAAATCGCACGGTGCGTTCATTAGCAGACCCCTCTCTAAATGCAACATTAATATTGCCGGCTGTTTTTGCCGCGTTACTTCCGCGTCAGAACTCGTAATCAAACATCACTCGAATTTTCGCAGTATTCATCTTTCTTGTCTAAGTCGAATAAAAAAAAATTAAATTAAAGTCAATATTCAAATGTTTCACATTTTTTAAAAGAAGAACACCATAGAAACCATGAAGATTCTCTGTCAATTTAAAGAACCTATTACAATAAAACGGCAATTTCATACTTAAAAGCGTAATATAATCTGCAAAAATCAAGTTGCCTCAATACAAATATTTGTAATAGAATCCGCCACCGTCGAGTGAGGCGATGGGACGACCACCGAGACATCACGCGCCGCCCGAACCAAGAAGACAAGATGAAGTACAGGTAAAGTTTTTGGCATTAGAAAGTACAGGAAAATTAATTCCAAATTAAGTATAAATATCTAAATACTATGCAATCAGTTTACAAAACTACGATGAGAAATCTTTTAATGAGAAGAATCAGCGAAGCACTCTACTTAGGTTGCTTTATTCTCTCCCTGTTTTATTTCATACATACAAGCAGTCAAATTGAAAAATTACTTCATAATGTAATTCGTAATGATGTTATATATTAATACAACAATAATTTGAATGAGAAACCTATTGAAATAGCTAGAACACGTTAAGTCCTAGCATTCTTATCTGCTATACTATATGAGAAAAAATTCCAAACACGGGTATTTTGGCCAATCACAATAACTCAAGTAAGTACCTCCACCGAGTATGAGTGAATCGGACACCTAGTGCGATTAGTGCAAATTTTACAGTTTATGATTATTGAAATAAGATTAATTATCAAAATCGGTTATTTGGTCATAATTGATAGATTTACTGTCCACCAAAGGAAGTTCGCCATGCGTTACATTACCTTTTTTATAGTTTGACCATACTGTATCGATAGTCTTTATTTGAATAAAAATAATATTTTCTAAAATGTATTATTTGATTTTTATGATTGTTTCGTACAGGAGTTGCGTAAGTTCGGGCAAGAGTTCAAGTTGGTATCGACTGGTCCGCCCCCGACGCCGGCCTCCGCCCCCGCAGGTGCCGCTCCGCCCCCGCCCGCCTCACATCAACCACAGGTCAGATACGGATTTTTATTACTTCACACTATCATTTGGTGGAAACAACCAATCACCACGCGACATGATTTTACCTTTATTTTCTGATGTTATTAGTAGAATTTTTATTTAAAGGAACGAATCACATGTATACTGTGGCTACTTATTACCATAGACACTATATTACCTCATCGCTCAACCATCGTAGTCACGTACACAGCAAGAACTTTTATTAACACAAATTCAAAAGAGCTGCGTAATAATTCACTGAAAATTAACTACAAGTATTACTAACGCGGTATTGCGCTATCCCCGATGATAAATAATTGTTTGCAATGGCAACGAGACGCCAGCAGAATATCCGTGGTTACCCTTGACGTCCATAAGATACCAAACGAGACTGACCTGTCTTAGAAACTGATCAACCCGATGCCAAACGAGACGTATGACAATTTGAGTTGCGGCTGGCGACTTTCATCAGAATAATGATTTATATATATGTGCTTTTTTAAAGTTGTTTAACGAAAACTATTTAACGTCAAATTACATTTGTATTATGTGCTTATAATTCATTAACAAGTTTATACAAATTGTAATTTAATTTTGCTAAATTAAATTTGACTTTATGAGAGTTACATAACCTGTCTTGTCTGTTCGTCCGTGTCTCAAATTCACTTCATCCCGAAACAATTGGGAATACACAATTACGTTATTGTATTTTATCAATAAATATTTTAAAATTTGTACCAAGTATGGTAGATTATGGAACATTGTAATACAATTTGCTATGTTTCGATTAGCGACGCTGCCTTAGTTGCTACAATAGCAATGGTATACGGCATGCTTGTATTATCATTTCTTGTAACTGTTTTATATAGTTGTTATGTTTAATATTTATAGACAGTGCCGGTATCGGCGCCGAGTCCGCCTGAAGTGTCGGCCAATGCGCCGGCGCCGCAGTCAACAGCTGAAATCAAACGGGAACCTGTCACACATAAGGTAACACATCGTTAGTGTTGCCCCACTATCGACAGTTTCGACATCGACATCGATAGTTGACAGTGAAATTGTACTTGTCATTATACTGAAAATTATTATGGCAATAGTCGGCAGCAATAGTATAATAATACTTTCGATACGCAATCATCTTAATCTTATTATTAATCTATCAAATCAAAATCATTTAGTAGTTTGAAAACCACAGCTTAAATTGAAGGCTTTTACAAGCACTTTTAAAAATCGGAGCTCGATATCATCGGTTCATTCCTGCAGTGGCAGACCTTGTGCCACTACAGGCAACCAGCAAGCAATTTGGCCAAGGCTGCTTTTTTCTCTTTCATTACCATGCAATGGTTTGAAAGTGTCACTTAAATTTTTGTCAGCCTGTATTTAAAAACATTTTATCAGCCTGTGTTTCGATTAAAAATCCTTAAATTGAAACATTTCGAAATCTAAATTGAATTAATACCACGTGACCAAATACAATTATACCATCACTATCGTGTCGTCTTTCAATACGTAACAAATATCGTAATATCAATGCCATCTAACGGCGACGATGAGTAACGCAAGGTTGTGTTGTAGCCGCCCGTGAAGCAACAGCAAGAGGAGGTGGTGCAGCAACAGCCGCAGCCGCAGACTGACAGGTCGCCGCTGTCTTCGCCACCGTCGGCCGCGTCGCCTGTGTCTGTCACGCTGAAGAAGTCCACACTCAACCCCAACGCTAAGGAGTTCAACCCCGCTGCCAAACCATTCACGCCCAGGAGCCCCTCTACACCCAACCCCAGCCGGTCAGTATACAACACCATATTAGGCCCTAATATTACAAGTTAACAGTGTAATAAATTTCGCTTAACAACCACTGAAAGATTTCACCACTGTAAGATTTCTTTTTAATAACTATTATTTAAGATTTTATTTAAAAAAAATTCAGCCATAATCAATATATCTCAATAGTATAGTATAGATATACTCAACAAAAAACATTTATTAGTCCAATAATTATTTTTTGTAAATAACATGATAGCTTCAACTTTACATCCAAAAAGCTACAAATTGCGAAACCCTGTCCTACGCAAGTCTGAACGAGTCGCCAAAGAATGCTTTGAATTTGTATTGCGATTTGCTACGAGTCTCTCAATACAACAATAGGTTTGAAAGTATGAGATGGAGATAGGCGAATTGTTGCTATTCATCCTCATTGGCAATCGTCAATATAACTGAAGTCTTTCGTCGATCGGAGAAATTTTTCAATCGCTTCCCTTTTATTCATGCGCATTCAGTCGCACTCGTACGTAGTAATAAGGGTGTAGATAGTAAACGGAAATAAAAAAAAACTTTTTCTGATAGTGTAATAAACTATTATCGACAATTACACTTTTATGTTTATTATATTCATAAAATTGCTTAAATTAATTATGAAAAAAAAATTATACTCATTGTCACATGACCGCAAACAGCGCGTGACGTCATAGGACGCAATGACAGAAGTTGTCGTTCTCGCGAGAAATTTTTAAAATTAATTATATTTTTAGATTTCAACTATATATATATATAATTTTTTTTGTTTATATATATTTCGTATAAAATATATTTTCAATGCAGTTGCTCATAAAGCGCTGTTTTTTTAATCCATTGTAAACACAGAAAGTGAGTCTTTAAACACATATTAAATAAAAATGTACTGAAATCCTTTACTACACACATGCTTAAAAGTATTTTTTATGGCCGATCACCAAAGAAATTAAAAAAAAATTGATGAAAATATGTCAAACTTTAGAGGCAAAAGTATTTCAAGGAGCCTAGAACGAATATTTTCAAATAAAAATGTATGTCACGAAAACATGTTCAAATATCACGTTTAATTTTAACAAATAATTTTTACCTTGTAATACATACTTAGTTTTATTAACCTATATATTTGTTTTATTTCCTCGCAAAAAGCATTGAAAAATGTTGTATTCGAATTCGTGCCAATGAAAACCTTCGCTACGCTCGTGTTTTCAATTTGGCCCTTATTCGTAAAATCTTACTTTCCGCACTCGTATCTTAAATCATTTTTTTTATTTTTATTATCTACACCCCTATTGTTGGGTAACTATTACTGAACTACTACTGTTTAAATTAAAAAAACCTTTTAGAATGTATTATTCGAAATATTAAAATTACCTGTTTGTATTAAAAGACGATGGGTTGATGTATGTTGTACTTTATTATTAATGTGTTTCTATGTAGTCCTCACACGCCGGGCACGCCGGTGGGCGTCGGAATGGGTGTGGGCGGGGTAGGGCTAGGCGGCGTGGGCGTGGTGGGCGCCGGCGTCAGCTACGTGCCCGCGCCCCATCCTCCCCCGCCACATCACATGGTCAGTATACATCACATATACATTACACTAAAACTATAAACAATAACATAAGTGATTATTACCAAATAATTTCAACAACCTTGCAGAAGCAAATTTATAAGTGTTCCTATTTGAAAATTGCCCCAAATTTAATAATAGCCGCTTTATATATTTACAAACCAAATCATAATTTAAACTCGTATGATATTAAATAAATAAAGAAACTACTAGTGATGTACCGAGTCGGATATATTTCGTATTCGAATACTTTGGTACTCGTTAAAAAAAGAATCGAGTCAGAAGAGTCGGGTAGGTATTCGAGTACTAGCACAAGTATTCGAATACTTCAGCGGACTCGTGTATTATTCGAATCGAACTTTGTATGACTTTGACGACAACTACACATTATAACGAATCATGAACAAATAGGAAAGTATTTCAAATATTCTAGATTAATACAGCTATAATCAGTCATTTAATCATATTCATCATTGGTACTTTGTTAATTATGAACATTATTAAAAAGTTCTATAGAAGCACGCAAAGCAAATCTTGCTTTTATAATTTTAATATTACCTAAATTCTTGAAACCGTAAACAACTTTAGAATAAATAATTATATAAAATAAAATAAGAAAAATAAACAAGAACCACTTATCTTATAAACTTTAAGTTACGTCGTAAACGTAAAAATCTTCTATAAAATTATTAGTTATCAACGAAAATAAAATTATAGTACGAAACGAAGTACTTTCTGAACGAATTGTTCTCGTTAAGAGACAACTAAAACCGTACGTGTTAAGCTAAAAGGTTGCTATTAAAGTACACGTCTTAGGATTCGAATACCGTAAGTTCTCGAATCGTGTAATCGAGTACCTGCGTATCCGAATTCTGTATTTTAAGTACTCAAGTACCTGAGTACCTGCTAGGTATTCGAGTAAGTACTCGAGTCAGCCTGACTCGGCACATCTCTAGAATCGACTACTTTAGCATACATAGAGTACATACTTCTCGTAGTAAACAACAACAAGTAATTTATATAAAACATATATCTAAACCATAAACCAGTGATACTAATACAATCAAAAATGATATTACTGCTTGTATATCATTAGAGACTGTTAACTTAAATGATACTAAAAAATAGTATTCCCACCTGACTGCAATTTTTCTATCAGTAAATTATTTTTGTAGGGGTGTGGAGAAGTTATTTTGTCTAATTACAAATTGTGGCTCACCTATGTAAATGCTCAGACGGTTAAAAAAAACGCTGCAAATGTGAGCCATTAGAATTATTCGGGTAACGCGCCTGACCTCCGCTGAGCGTGAGTGAAACAGACACTTATGGCCGGGGTACAAGAGATTAGTTTTATAAGCAAGGACAGCCAGTTACTGCTAGCAAGGTAGTGCCCTTATCTAGTTACTATCTATTAGATAAAAACAAATTTCACATACGTAAATATAGTGGTATTATGTTGCTAGTTTGCTAGCACAAGTCGGCTATCCTATCTTAAAAACTAGCCATCTATATCCTGGGCATTAGTACGTTGTATTTTACACCTTATGACTATTGAAACAAAGACTCTTTATTTTAATTTTACGTTACAACATTATCTGAGCTGCACGTGTATCGGCACGTTTCGTCTACACTTAAATGTCACTTTCCTCGGGTGCCCTCATACATCTCACTCTCGACCCGAGAAAGTGACATTTGGATGTAGACAAAGCATTTCTCGAGTTAGTCATGCTACGTACAACTGTCCTGCAAAAATAGTACAATTTCTGGTATGATTTGTTACCCATTTTATAAATCACAATGAATAATGAAATATAATAATAAATATGAAGGTTGCCGCTGTACCGGCGTACGCGATGGTCGCAGCGGCAGCGGCGGCTGCTCAACAACCGCCCGCATATATACCGCATCCACATCCGGTGAGTACATTACTAACTACATATTCATTGTAAATGTATCGACTATTGCATAAATACTCTTTCCAAATATGCAAATTTCGGCGTAAAAGTCGACTTCGATAGTTATTATTAGTTAGCATCCACATATCCAATAAGTAATAGCGATCAATCGAGCCATATTTATTTTAATCATTAAAAAAGGCAGCTCATTTTTTTTTAAGTTTTATGTAATATTTACTGTAAATTACTTAATAATCCTCAGTCTGGATATTGTCTCCCAAATTCATTTCATTTATTAACAAAACAAAGTCCTTTTAAAATAATAACAATGGTATAGCCTGGACTTATCTATTCGTGACGCGAAGTCAGAAGAGGTAAGTACTTTTAGACTCAGTACCAGTTCCCAAACTGGTCATATTTTCGTGTACATATTTCATTCTTCGATTAAAGATGAGCCACAGAAAGCCACAGCTTTGAAGCTTCTTAAGTCCGAGGCCGTGGACCGTGTGGTCTAGTTATACCAGGTACAACGTAGTAGCTATATTACTGGTAATAAAATAGAGAAAAAAATAAAAACGTTTCTGAGTGAAAATATTGAACTAAAAAAAATTTTCTTATGAAAAAAAATTTCGTCATTTAAAAAACTCTGTTATATTGAAGACCTTCACATTTTTGCCGCGTCTTCTCTTCAGCTTTGTGCCCAATCTTAATAATAATAAGTTGTTCAAAGTTGCTTATACTATATTTCATATTAAATCTCAGTCAAATAATGGTAGTAAAATATAATTTGATATATACATATAAATCAACTTTTTATCAGTTATGTAAATTACATTATATAAACTTTCACAGTTAATTTATATTCACATTATATAAATTAACTTTATATGTTATGAAATCATCCTAGTTATTTTTAAGTCATAAGTCGTATAGTTGAATATTGATTGTGGAGACAAATGAACACAGATGGAGTTGAGCTGCGAGTGTCGACAATACGGACCGCCTGTGTTCCTGGTACCCGACAAGCGGGAACGTCCAGACGCGGTGAGAGAGAGCGGGAATGGGCGGGAATAAGCATGTCATATATGTTTTATCCTGCTCTAACACTCCTTAACATGAAAGATTTGCTATTTTTTATATGTATAGGAATGAAAGGAATAAGATTAAGGAATTACCGCCTATATTATAAAAAGAAAATATAAACTAGACCGATTTTTAAATAGTTCCACCAGTAAATTTAAACTAAAAAGATAACTGGATCAATTAAATATTTAACTTTTGTGACCAAATAGTAGCCTCTCAAGTCATATCGATAGATTCCAAATTTCTTTGTTTATATGGCATGTTTATGACCTGACAACACCGCTCATTTGTGTCCACAATAATAAACTGATTTGGAGTGTGGGTGCGCTTGTATCCCTAACATACATAAAATACGCCCGGACACAGTTCTTCAACTTGAATGTGCTGAATTTTGGAAATGAATGAATCAGATTTAATTACATAACAACACTACAGGTTATCCATGATTATCGAATGCTCCAAATGTTTTTGATTTCTCTTTTGTTACAATCAAAACTCAAATTCTTTTACACAAATTTGTCATTTTACAGTAACCTGTTATGCTGCTGTGTAGTTGTTTATACTAATATGAGAGTTTTTTTTTTGTTTGAAAGTGCTAATCGTTTAATTTAACTATAAGACAAAATTGATAAGATCAGTTGAATTAACATTTTGAGGAAAGTTTCATATTATAAAATATTATAGGTAGGTAATAATATATTATAATAATATTATCGAATAAAGGCAAATAATGTCGCTAGTATGTGTAAGTTGATTCGCCGGCGAAGTATGGATATCCTTACAAAGACAACACAAAGAAATAGTAATATGATTATATCTCATGTGAGACTTTGACAAATGTTGATTGATTTAAAGGTGACTTTTCTACAATTTTCATCTTAGTATGGTATACAGTTTTTTTTTAAAAAACGTGTTTAAATAATTTGCAATTTTGTGAAAAGGTATCTATTTTTCCACCGATTAATTGATCACACATAATTTTCTATTAAGTTTGTTCATTAACAAGTTTTTTTGCAGTTGTTTACTAATTATATGTTTGTTTTTCGTTACATAGTGCACAATTGGTTTAAGTTTTAGGAAAAAGAAAGTGTGTGCATCAATAATGTTTCCGTTAAAAATAAAAGGTCTGGTTGAATAATCGAACATGTACTGTGAATCAGCTCAGTAGGTCGTACAGATAACCTACGAATATCAATTTGCTGTAATTAGATAATTTATTAAAAAAATAAATAGTACATTTAAATCGGAAGCGTACATAGCACCACGATGATTTAAGTATTTACCTATAAATTAATAATAACATAATCACTTAGATATTATATCCATTCTTCCGGTCTCACCTTGACCAACTTTTCGGACATAGACCAAAGCTCGCCTGCTAAGTATCTATCCTCCGCTTTCCAAGACATGCCGCTCTCCTTGCAGTCAACAAAATACTTCCCACTGATCTGATCACACTCATCAGCCACCGCCAAATACAATGAAGTCTGAGCTCCTTCCTCAGGACTCTTAAAGAACGTATATAGAACTAAACACCTGAGTTTCTCAAATAAAGTAGTTTTATATAAGCTGGTATTAACTTGACCAGGATGTAAACTGTTCACCACCACTCCCGTGCCTTTCAAACGTCTCGCCAGCTCGTTCGCAAACAAAACATTGCAAAGTTTACTATTACAATAAGTCTGGAAGTAGCCGTAACGACCTTCTTCATTCACTCCCTCTATTGTACCAAGTCTGTGTAACATTGATGATACAACAATAACTCTACTAGGAGCTGATCTCTTCAGTATAGGAACTAGGAGTAACGTCAGTAAAAATGGTCCGAAATGATTCACCTGCATATCTTTTACCATCCCATCTTCCGTCATGCTTCTGCCCATGCCACTGGCACCTGCATTATTCACTAATACATCTAGTTTAAATTCAGACTTCTTGAACTCCTCGACGAACTTTCTCACAGAACTCAACGAGCTTAAATCCAAATATATATACTTCACGTTCTTATTTTTCGTTTGTTTGATAATGGATTCCACTGCCTCTATTCCTTTTTTGTCGTCGCGACAGCCCAATATTACTTTAGCTCCTCGCTTGGCTAATTCCAATGCTGTAGCGTATCCTATACCACTATTAGCTCCAGTAACAATTACGACTTTGCCGATCATGACGTTATCAGTATAACATCTACCGTTTGAAAACTTGTTCAATATTTTTATCAGCACTAATGTCACTGTCACCCAGAAAACCCACATTATCGAATCGACGTTCATTATTATTTAATGAAAAAGGGAAATAGTCATACACGACTTAATCAGAGCTGTATTAATGATTGACTGTTGTGTAATATCGCTAATCGGATATTGTTATTGAACATATATCTATGTAAGCTGTTTGATATAATATTACTGAGTATTATACGAATATGTTACTGTGACGTAATTTTATGCTTACAATTTTATGTCTGTTTTTTACTAATGTTTTTTTTTTGTTCAATAACAAATATTAGACAACATAAGATACATCGCTCAGATCGTTAATTGAGTAGCTGTAATAACGAAGGGAATATAAAATGTAGACCAGAGACAATTTAAAAAAGTTCATCATTTATATTTACCGGGATCGGGAATGGCACCCGGAACCTCATAGATGGCGACACCTTGACACTGACATGCGAGCTACTGATTTTTTTTTTATGTTTTCCGCTTGTAGCGTAGCATTTGTTTTTACTTATATTTTTTTGCGAAATATTGGAAATTTTGATATTTTGACGACCAAAATAAATAAACTTAATATATGGTTTTATACTTTCTCACGTTTCAACCTTCCTGGAGTATGACATACATTTTAAAACCAAAATCAGTTAATTCAGTTCATCCGTTCTCTAGTTTTAGCGAGAGAAATGAACAGCAGTTGATTTTTACATATGTAGATTAATCTATAAATAGCTGTGTATTTAAGAGTATTGCCGTTATCATTGATAAAAAAATAATTGCATCAAATTAATAATATTATTTCAATGACACATGCTGATAAAACGTAAAAAACCGTAAATATAATATGTTAATAAACCCGTGTAAGTGTGATTTAAGAACACAATATTATTATTTCATTCCAATAAATGTATTTTTTAAATAACTAAACCTACTGGATATATTTAATTTGCGATTGAAAATAAATCCACGAACGTAATGCAGTGAAGAATATCGTAACTGTCACGAAGATGTAATATTACTAATATATTTCCTTATCAGCACCACTGATAACGGGTCAAACCGCTTCAACTATGCATTTGACATTATCAACGGATCACGTGTATACCACGATAAATAACTAATACCGATAATGTTTTTATTTATTTTCTACATGCCCGTGAGGTGTAGATTTTTTTATTCTATATTGTCACAGAGTTGGGTGATGATGTTGCCTAATATTTTATATTATGAATACAGACAGAAATGCGGTAAAATTCCTAAGATTCGGTAAAAACATTATACTTTATTAATTAGTCCACGAACGAAATTTTGTTTTAATCATATCTGTGAAGATTATCTGCGCACCAGTACATTCATTGCATTATAAATTATTGAAAAATGCGTTTAAAAAATAAATTTTCTTTTTCGGAGATACGGAGTTGTATTAGGAATAAAAAAAATCATACTCATTAAAAATAAAGATCCCATTCTTGGGTTTTGCATTGGTCGATTTCTTATTGTTGAATATGTTATACAATATTTAGTTGGCGTACGGAGCGATGGGGGGCGGAGCGGGGGTTGCTGGTGTGGCGGGGGGTGCGGGACAACATGCCCCCATGCAAGCACAACCACAGAGAAACTTCAGAAAAGGTGAGATATATATATATATACAATTAGCTTTCTTCCCGCGCCTTCGCCCGCTTGGGATGAAGGCTAACGCGTTTGAACCACTAAAGGCGTTAGTGCAGCGGAAGCTCTTCAAAAAGTCTCAATTCAATCTCGTAGTAAATGAACTTTGACAGGACCTCTCGCAACAATAGCGCCATTAAATATCCGAAAATACGGTAGCACTCGTTAGGTTATTATCACCCTTCATATTTTCCTACCTTATTTCACCACCTTTATGCTTATTTTTGTGATAAAATCTATCTAGTAAAGATCAAATATATTGTCACCATATATCTATATCCGCCGATATACATTTTAACGATCCGGCACATCACTAGTTATAATGGTGTGATTGTATACGTAATGTCGTACAGTGGGGGTGGGTTCAGGCGTACAAGTGGCGGCGGCGACCGGGCAGCCCCTTCTGGCGCCGGCGCCGATGCAACAGTTCATGCCCTACCCGCACCCCCATCCCGGACCTCACCCGGCACAACCAGCGCTGCAATACCACCAACACATGGTCAGTATCATTAGTATTATCACCATATTTATGCCTCTGACATCTCGGATAACATAATAAAAGTGCAACTAACTTTGTTCATCATCACCAGCCCTTTTACGTCCCTACTGCAGGGGCTTAGGTCTTCCATATGGGTGGTTAAGGGGGATGGGCCATGAATCCACGCTGGCCCAATGCGGATTGGCGGGTATTAACGACTGCAAATGCAGCCGGGGCCAACGGCTTAACGTACCTTCCGAAGCACGGAGTAGCTCGAGATAATAATTTTTTGGTCACCCATCCCGTGACTGACCCTTGCGAAAGTTGCTTAACGACAACGATCGCGGGCCGCGGCACTTATCCACTACGCAACCGAGCGAAAAATAAAACTTAGGAATAATTTAACAATCCTGGTAGACCATTACTCGGTCAAGTATAGCGTATCTAGTATATAATATAAAGAAATATAAAAGGCTCTCATTACTAAAGACCACTATTGTAACAGTAATAAAGAAACTAAATATTTTGATAAAATATGTTTCTTTTGATCAGAGTGACCAAGCGAATGTATAGTAATTTATTCACTCTTTCATTTATCAGAGGAACTAAGTAATAACGTCTAAAACATTCGAACATTCATGGTAACGGAAGTATCTTTATGTTACACTTCTAATTTTAAAATATTAAATAAAGCCTCTAGTACAGAGGTTATCAAACATTTTTTTCTCGTAGATCATTTAAAAAAAAAATACTGGCTTCGGTGGACCCCCTGCTGCTACATTTTTACCATTTTCCCAAAATTCTTCCTAAATGTGAAGATCAAACGATGGAAATTGGCACTTTATTTTTATTTCACGCCAACGTTGAATCCCTCGTGAACCCCTGGGGGACCACCTGGACATACATATGTATCCGATATATGTATATTGATAATTTTTATATTAATTATAAACATCGGATTTTTCCGAACTCTAATAATAGGTATATGTGTGTGCGTTGTGTACAGGTGCGCATGTTCCACGGCGGCGGCATGGGCGTGGGTGGTGCGGGGGCCGGGGCGGGGGGCGGCGGCGAGGGCGTGGGAGGCGTGGGGTACCCGGCGGCCCCCTCCCCCGCGGCTGCCTCGCCCGCGCTCTACCCGCCGCCCTCGCCCGCACACACGCCGCACCCACATCCGCACGCCCACCACCACCACTACCAGCAACCACCCTTCCCGGTACGTACGCGACACATACGTTATGGCTGGTTTACACTTAACTAACTAAGTAATCAATAGATTTTTAACTTTTGACTCATTAATTACATGTAAACACCCAAATAAGTAACTAGTTCATATTTCCTTTACTACTTATTTTATTTTATTTGGGACAACAAACGGTTAACACAATACATGGTAATACATTGATATCATTGTGAAACCCATACCGCTATCCGCATTACTAAGTCGTGTTAAACTCGATATAAAACAAAGCGACTAAAATTAGGTAGTTACATTAAAAAAATGAATTGTCAAGAAGACAGTAGTTTAAGTTAAAAATTTATTTAATTACGTGTAAACTAGCCATTAGTAAATACTCTGACGGCTGGCGGTATACGAGTGTAAGATAACATACAATTAGGCTGGGTCCTCCAAGTAAAAATAGAAGTTTCTCTTATATGTTGGTAAAATAATAACCATTCTAATTTATACATATTTATCAATATAAATTTTATTGCACTCATTTGGAAAACATAACGCTTTGAAAACTGGAAAAATTAAAGAAATATTAGAAACATTTGCAGCTGTGTGATATCACTTAGTGGATTGAATTTCTCGGGAACGTTTACGACCGACAACTAGCAGTTCCACAAACATTACACCATATCACTTCTATATTGTTTCGCTGATATTAATGGACTATTTATTAATAATATAATAAAAAATGTCCACTAGCCTATTAAATTCTATTTTATATTTACTTATTAACGAGCAGCCTTCATTGCGGTCATTAATCTATGACATTATAATCAGTTTTTATTTATATCTCGGATCAAATTATGTATCTACTGTCTAACATAAACGTAACTATTTAATGTACTATATTTGATGTTAAAAAAATAGAACTGCAATCTGACAAGAAATGCTCGTAATAAATATACTACATATGCTATAAAATATAAATTCGATGAAACCGTTTAAAAAGTTGTTTTATTACTACATGTGTATGTTTGAAATAAAAACGCGCTATTGATTTAATATATACTGTCCAGGTTTTATGCGGTCTGCCGGCTCACCACCACCATCATCACCACGTGGCGTATCTCAACCACGCGCCACCCACCGCATCTCCGCCTCACCATCCCCACCAATTACAGGTGAACTTCATTTATTGATTGTAAAGAAAAGATTTTCAAAGTCAAACGTACTATGAATGGTATGTAAGTCTTAAAGGTAAATAAGTACTAAATAACATCACATACAGTGCTCAGATTCTTAGATGAGTAGCTAAAGCCGTAAACCCGAATTATGGAGTATCTGAGACAACGAAGGTAACACAACACACGAACCTGAGATAATATACAAAAGTTCTACGTTGAACCGACCGGAATCGAACTCGGGACCTCAGAGATGGCAACACTATAAAAACGGCGTTGAGATCATGAGTCTTATTATTTTATGTTACTAAAACTATTGTTTCTATAAAATTAATCAAAATGATGAGAAACAAAGTAATCTTGCTAATCTATGCTTTTTACTACACTATTTGTTTTGCACTTTAGTAGTATATTATATATAATATTATTTAGGTAATTTTGGTTAATCAAAAGACTTTAAATAACACCTGAGACGTCGTCTATAACATACCATTCCGTTTGTACAGCAAGTGTTGCTGCCGCCACAGCACAACTCGTCGGGCGGGGCGACGACACCCGGCGTACACAGCGGCGCCCACCCCTAACCGCCCCCGTCCCCGCGACCCCGCCCCCGCCCCCTATCGCCACACGCCGCCCCCGCCCCCCGCGCCGTCC